ACTGACGTGGACCTGAGTGAAAACTATCTACAGTATCCCCCTGCTGGCCAGGGTGAGAACTTCAGTACATAACACCCACTGCTAGTTTTGGAACTCTTGTTTACACCTTTGACAGCTGTGGAGAAACCTGGGAACTCCAGTTTGCTAAGGATGCCAGGAATTATAGCTCTGTAATGTCAGCACGCTACAGTTCTCAATATCCTTTAGGAGAAGCCGTGACTGTTAAAGTGATCTAAGAGTGCTTTAAATGTATGGTGTAGCTTAAGGTTACCAGATTTTTTTCAAATAATCCGGGGACACTTAAAAAAAAAAAGAGAGAGGGGAAAGTTACCGTATTTAAGAAGTTATTTTTTAAAAAAATTAGAAGTAATTTCTTCTCTTCTGTGGTCTCCTCTGTCGCGCTGCCTTCCTCTGGGCCCCGGCCTGCTCTCTTAGAGCACTAGTGGCCGTGGAGCAGGCTACAAGTGCCCCTGGGCAGCCGGCCAGGTGCTCTCGCACCCAGCTTGATTTGGTGGGGGTGTCAGCAGTTCCCCAGTTGATGCGCCAGGCATCCCTGGTTCCCCCTCGGTAGTGGCGGTGGCAGCGGCAGTCTCAGCAGCCCAGAGCCAGCCTGGTAGCGCAGTTGGCTCTGGCTGGCTTCAGGAGTTGCTTGCTGCCGTGGCGCCCGCCATTTTGCCTCACCGGAACTCCCCATATGATGTGTCTTGTGCCGTTGAACCAATCACGCAACGTTCATTCCCAACTAATAAATCTGCAACATTTAAAATATAAATCCGGGGACATTAAATGAAATCCGGGAACATTCCGGGGACGGATTTTGTCCAGGGACAGATTTGTAAATCCAGGGACTGTCCCCGGGAAACGGGGACGTCTGGTAACCATAGTGTAGCTGGGCCTGTTAGCCACAACCCAGATCAATCCTGTAGCGTTTATTGAGAAATACCACTGTCTGGTGTGTTCCCCTGCAAAGCAGCTTCCATCCCAATTGTCAGCCGGTGTTCTCACAGTGGCCAACCAGGCGCCGCTATGGGAATCCCCGAGCACAAGCGCACTCTCCCCTCTTGTCGTTTCCAGCAACTGGGATCCGGAAGTAGAATTGCCTCCAACAGTGGAGGCAGAAGATAGCCATTGTGACTAGTAGCTGTAAATAGCCTTCTTTATGAATTTGTCCAATCTTATTTAAAAGCCACCCAGCTCCGAGGGCCTTCTGGCGGTTCCCTCCCTGCGAGAAGTGAGGTTACGGGGAACCAGGCAGAGGGCCTTCTCGGTGGTGGCACCCGCCCTGTGGAACGCCCTCCCTTCAGATGTCAAGGAAATAAACAACTATCTGACTTTTAGAAGACATCTGAAGGCAGCCCTGGGAAGCTGTTAATGTCTGATGCTGTGTTGTTTTTAATACAGTGGTACCTCGGGTTAAGTACTTAATTTGTTCCAGAGGTCCGTACTTAACCTGAAACTGTTTTTAACCTGAAGCACCACTTTAGCTAATGGGGCCTCCCACTGCCACCAGGCCGCCAGAGCACGATTTCTGTTCTCATCCTGAAGCAAAGTTCTTAACCCGAGGTCCTATTTCTGGGTTAGCGGAGTCTGTAACCTGAAGCGTATGTAACCTGAAGCATATGTAACCCGAGGTACCACTGTATTCGGTTGGAAGCCGCTTAGAGTGGCTGGGGAAACCTAGCCAGATGGGTGGGGTATAAATAACAAATTATTATATTATTATTATTATCCAAGTTGGTGGACACATCACTGCCTCCTGCAGCAGAGAGTTCCACAGTTCCAGCTCTGCACTGCACGAGGAAGTCCATTCTTTTATCTGTCCTGAATCTTCCAGCTTCATCGAATGTCTGCGAGTCCTAGTGTTATGAGAGAAGACAATGTGTACACATTGTCATAGCAACATGGAATCGTAAAATTGGAAGGGAACCCGGGGGTCATCTAGTCCAACCCCCTTTGATGCAGGAATCTCGGCTAAAGCATCCATGGCAGAGGGCCATCCAACTGCTTAAAAACCTGCAAGGAAGGAGAGTCCACAACTTCCCGAGGGAGACAGGTCTGTGGACCTATCTGCACTACCTATAGACATTTACCTTACCTGGGAGTAAGTCTCTCTTAACTCAGTGGGGGGTAACTTCTGATCTATACGGGCTACACTGTCAAAAAGGGGGGGCATATCGTCTGATTCTCACAAAACTTTGAAAATAAGAATTTCTACTAATAATTACCCACCCTTCACCCTTAGGTTCCAGGGTGGATTACAACATTGAAACACAATATTTTTATTCTTTTAAAAATCTACCCACTATAAAGGCAATATATAACCACACAGATGTGATCTTTTGGCTTTTAGTTTCAGCCGCCTTACTCTAGTCTTCTTTGGAATTATAATTATGGCATCGTCAGAGCGAGGAGGAGGCTGCAATTATTCTTTTACAGAAAACAATAATAATACAATAATTGTACATATTTCCCATTTATCACGCTAACGGGGAAAACTTGTCTTGGAAAAGCTTTGCTTAGGAACAAAGGGCTATGACAGTTGGTAGCAATAATTAGCATGATGAAGAATTAGGGCATCTTTTGGGAGGGTTATGTGTTTGCTGTTAAAACAGGATAATCAGTCAGTGTTGAGAGAGAACCCAAGGATAAGAGGCAGAATCGTAAGTCAAGATGAAACAGCAAAAACCTGACTGCAAAATAAATGTGAAATATCACAGAATTGTAGAGCTGGAACGGACCCCAAGGGTCATCTAGGGAGGGGTGAAAACATCGTGGCAGAACTACAAGAGGCAAACTCCTGCCTAGCTGCAGTATGGAATTGTTGTTTGTTTAGTCGTTTAGTCGTGTCCGCCTCTTCGTGACCCCCTGGACCAGAGCACGCCAGGCACCTCTGTCCTCCACTACCTCCCGCAGTTTGCTCAAACTCATGCTGGTAACCTCGAAAACACTATCCAACCATCTCATCCTCTGTCGCCCCCTTCTCCTTGGGCCCTCCATCTTTCCCAGCATCAGTGTCTTCTCCAGGGAGTCTTCTCTTCTCATGAGGTGGCCAAAGTACTGGAGCCTCAGCTTCACGATCTGTCCTTCCAGGGAGCACTCAGGGCTGATTTCCTTGAGAATGGATGCGTTTGATCTTCTTGCAGTCCATGGGACTCTCAAGAGTCTTCTCCAGCACCATAATTCAAAAGCATCAATTCTTCGGCGATCAGCCTTCTTTATGGTCCAGCTCTCACTTCCATACATCACTACTGGGAAAACCATGGCTTTAACTATACGGACCTTTGTTGGCAAGGTGACATCTCTACTTCTCAAGATGCTGTCTAGGCCTGTCATTGCCCTTCTCCCAAGAGCAGTATGGAATTAATAAGGTGTTATGTACTGAAGTTCTCACCCTGGGCCAGCAGGGGGATACTGTAGATAGTTTTCACTCAGGTCCACATATGCAAATAAGGAATTGAAAGTGACGTTCCGTGATTGGATAGTTACAGAAAGTTGTTACTGTTGCGCTCTAGTGGAGCTCTATATAAGCAGGTTGGCTGAACCCTTCAGCCCAGTTCTGTTCTGGCCTGTGAATAAACAAGAGCTGTTTGAAGAATCGCTGTGTCGTCTGATATGTTCACCCACAACTTAACATAAATGCAGGCCTACCTTACAGGGTCATTGCAAGGGCTGGAAGGTAGCTCAGCTTCCCTGACGTTGTTGAGCAGTTCAGATGTCCTGCTGTTCTCCTGTGCCTTCAGCTCGACTGAAGACAGTGTGTGTATCCATTCAATGAGTGATGGGGGGGTCTGTTCAACCTGAAACGTCTCCATGCCAAGACAAAAGTGTGGCAGGATGTGATGTGCAGATGATACAGCCTTGACAGCGCACACTGAGGAAGCGTTACGGAGACTGGCTGTTTTGCCCAAGCCTGCCTAGACTTTTGGCCTTACCATCAGCCTGTTACAAGTGTCCCCTAAAACTCAATTCTGCATTTGTAAGAAATAAGTCTTTTAGACCTGCACTTTGGAACTCCCTGCCCCTTGACGACATGTCAGCGCTTTACTCTTTTCAGCACCCACTAAAAACATTTATACTTAGGCAAGCCGGCCCAGGGATGAAGAATGACTGCACGCATTTCAATCTAGCTTTCACCTATCATTCATGCTCATTAATTTTTGAATGTTTAAATAGGGTTGCCATACACCTGGGATTTCAGGGGTTCATCCTGGATTTTCGGCAACATAATGGTCAAAATCGCAGCAGAAACCTTGGGTTGTTTCTCTAAAAAAATAAAATAAGGGTCAACAATTTGTTTGTGTCCAGATTTTCACTTCTTGAAAGATGGTAACCCTAGAAAAATGTTTTAAAATGTTTTAACTAATAGTTTTATTGTTTTATCCTTTTTATAAACTGCTGTAAGGGTTTTATTTGTTTGCTTACAATCAAGCAGCATATAGATCCTACAAAATAAATAAAATTGTATGCTATATTTTTTTAAAAATCATGAAAATTGCTTTAGATTAGAAGAAAAAAAATGAAACAATATGTCATTTTAAATATCCATATACAATAAGAATGATGTTAAAAACTCAGTTCTACAACATACATATATCCACTGTGCTGTTTTTATAAACACTTAGAGGGAAGCTACCTTGATAAAAGTTTTACTCTATATAGGCAGCATATAAATATTTCAAACATATATAGTTGTTTGTGCATGTAGGCAGGCAGAGAGGTAGAACCATTACACTGTCATGCACGCACACACACAAAGTTGTATTCAATGTTAAGCCCATTGATATTAATGGAGACCATTAACTTTTGGTCCATTAATCCCAATGGGACTATTCCGAGCAGAAGCTTGCTGGATCCAACCCACAATGATGATGGTGATGATGACGACTAGTACGATTTACAGCACTAGCAGAAATTAATATGTAGTCTTTCCACCCCGCGCGATTTTGAGCTAGGGAGTGTCAGTCAGGCCAAATGTGGGGTGGGAACTATTTTTCTCCCATCTCGGCTCTGCGCGGATGGAGCCTGGATGCCCGTGCGCTGTTGCCTTGGAGACGCGTCCGCGGAGCGAGAGAGGGGGCGGAGCACCGCAGCTGGCGGAGAGCTTCGGTCCCAGGACGGGGGCGACTGCTAAAGCGGAGGGAGTGCGGGGGAGGGGAGGACCCCCCCACCTCAGCATGCCTGTAATGGGGGGGGGGGGGCAGGTCATGGGAATGCTATGGGGGAGGGGGGAGAGAGAACAATTAATTGGGGGAGGGCTAATGAGGTTTCTAAGGAGAAAAGTGGTCAATTAATTGGGGTGGGGGGGTGGAGAAGCAAGAGTAATAAAAAAGTTGGGGTTTTCTGAGGAGAAAGTGTTCAATTAATGGGGGGGATATGAAAAGTTGGGATTTGCTGAGGAGAAAGTGGTCAATTAATGGGGGGTAATGAAAAATTGGGGGTTTTCTGAGGGGGGTAATGAAAAATTGGGGTTTTTCTGAGGAGAAAATGGTCAATTAATGTAGGGAAAATGGAAAGTTGGGGCGTGCTGAGGTGAAAGTGGTAAATTAATGGGGGATAGTGCAAAGTAGGGTTTTTCTGTGGAGAAAGTGGTCAATTATTGTGGGAATAATGAAAAGTTGGGGTTTTCTGAGGAGAAAAGGGTCAGTTAATGGGGGGAAGGAAGTTTACTGAGGAGCATTGGGGTTATCCATTATCCCACTTTCGATATTGCTTGTTCCTGCCGATGTTTTGGGGGAGCCCCACTCCTCCATTTCCATCCCACTGAAATCCTGTAACTTTCTTCATACTGCAGATGTTCCCGTGGAGGGGCTTCCTTAGTCCTCTCTGCTGCAGGTCAAAGGGGCCCCTCCAGGCTGTGAACATCGCAGGAAACCCACTAAACAGAAAGATGTGTGGGTGGTTCTCAAGGATTTGCCTTGAGAAGCAGAATATTAAATCTCTTGAGTGATATATTGAGGAATTATTAATTCCGGGGGAGTGGACAGAGCGGATTAAGAGTCAGAAATGGGGATCAGTCAGTATCCTCTCCAAAATTCAATTCCCAAGATTCATGTAGACAACGCCTTGACCTCTAAACAGATACTAGATTAGAAGTGAAGATGTATTTATTATTGTTTACATTTATATTCCACCTTTTCTTCCAAGGGGCTCGAGGTGGTTTGCTTTTTTCTCCCCCCCCCTCCATTTTATCTTCACAATAACCTTGTGAGATAGGTTAGGCTGAGAGGCAGCAACTGGCCTGAGGCCACGGGGAGAGCTTCATGGCTGAGGGAGGATTTGAACCCAAGACCCAGTCCAACACTCCTCATCTGCTCCTGTCTCTCTTAGGCTCAGCAGCAACACACAAAGGAGCAAGAGATACCCAGAAAGATGGACGTGTGTCAGCAAGACCCCCTCTCCGAGGGGGAGGGGGCCAAGACCAAAAAGCCACCTGCAAAGGAGCGCCCACACACACCTCAGACCAAGAAGAAAGCAAGAAAGAAGAAAAAGAAGGCAGGACAAGATAATGGTGGGCACCCCCAAGGCCAATAATCTCTCTTCTGTGATGGTGGGCTCCTTGGCAGCAGTGCCTGCAAGCTGCCATTTTAAAATTGACCACAGTTTTCCCTGCACGGCATGGCTGGAAATTGAAAACGGGGCATTGTGGGAAATCAAAATGGTGGTTTGCATGTACTCACCCAGCCAGAACTGGGTGTTTGTGTGTGAAGGGTATTTTATTTCTTGCATTTATATCCCACCTACTTTTCTCTCTTGAGGAGCTCAAGGGGGTGTGCATGGTTCTTCTGCTCCTAATTTAATCCCCACCACAACTCTGTGAAGTAGGCTAGGCATAGCTGTCAACTTTCGGATTTGAAAATAAGGGATCAGCAGCCTCACCTGTCCCGGAGACAGACTACGGGACATCTAACAATCCGGGGAAGCAGCGGGAAACGGTGCTGAAATAAGGGAATTTCCCGCAAAAAAAAAAGGGAAGGTTGACAGCTATGGCTAGGCCAAGAGGCAGTGACTGGGCCAAGGTCAGCCAGTGAGCTCCATGGCCAGCCCTCTAACCATTGTACCGCACTGGCTCTGTATGAGTGGCCTGATGGTACTTGCAAGAGAGGCTAGCCTTTCAAACAGCCATGGGGAACTTGGTGGCTCTTCAGCTGATCTACGTCTACCACAGCCAGCATGGCCAACCAACTCTGAGTCCTGATTTTGGTAGCTGGTGTCCAATAATATTCAGAAGGGCACAGGTTCCCCCTACGCTGTGGCTGCCAAATGTCATTTTAGTGCAGCCGTTACAGGGCTGGTTGTGAATTTTGTGCATAAGAACCTACCTAAACTTGCATTCTTTAGACCAACATGTCTGGTTTATTCAAGTAGTCTTTCATGCTAGTTAGCAATCTGCACAAGAAGGGAAGGAACAGTGCTGGTGGCGCTCTGCTTTCTTGGAGAAGCAAACACTTGTTCTAGAAATTGGATCTATGAGTAGGAAGAGTTGGGTGTTTTCCAGAGCAAGTTTCAAGCAGCTGCTCTTCTCTAGTTTAAGCAGTAGAGGGCGGGAGATACTCATCAATCGCCACTCCATTTCAACAGGAGGATGTTGAAACATTCTGCCTTTAGGAACAGAGGTGGCTGAATAATACAATTAAACCATTTTGTAGCTAAAGTAATTACAAAAAAGTGATGGTGAAGAGCAGCTGCTGTCCTGTCAGTCAACACCCAGATGACTGTATAAATAAGGCTGCTCCTTTGTGCATGTCTTTCCCAACACAGGTATTTTAATATGCTGATACAGGGGACAAGCCATTGAGAGATCTTCTGCTTTGTATGCAGAAGGTCCCAGGCTCAATCCCCAACATGCCCTGGTGGGAGTGGTAAAGATTCTCTTCCTGAAACCCTGGAGAGTTGTTACCAGTCAGCGTTGACAGTCCTGTGCTACAGGGACCAATAGCCTAAGGCATCGTACGTTCCTGTGATGTGCTTTGAAAGGTGCTCAGACTTCCTCTCTGACGCCATTCTTTTGAAGCAGGAAAACCTGAAGGCAAAAGCAAGAAGCCCTCCGTCCTTGTGACATCACCCCTTGAACTACTTCAACACCAAACTGGCCCTGAAACGACGCCCCAAGGTGCTGCCCCAAAGGCGACTCCAGCCAAACCTTCTCTCTCTGCCAGCATTTCCTTCTTGACCCAAAACAACTCTGTGCTTTCCAACGAGAGCCTTCGCTGGGATGGGGTCCTGGATGATCCCATAGCAGAAGAGGAGAGGTTATGGATCTACAGGCTGAACAGAAGGAAGCGCTATGGGGAGTACATCCAGAAAAACCTACCACCAGAGCCATCGTTTGCTTTTAAGCACTTGCCACAACATTATGTGGCTCCTCCTCAGGGCAAGGAGCAGTTGCTACGAAAGAGCATGTCCTCCACTACTACTTCAGCACCCAAGACAGACCAAAGTGGGCCGAATTCTAAGATCTCAACAAACGTCTCAAAAAGGCAGTCAGCCCTGATGCCAAGTGTTTCTCAGGAAATAGCGTAAAGAAATCTTCCCGTCGCTTCTGTTTTGCTTTGTTTAAGGCAAAGGCATGAAGATGCTTGAAGAGGTAACCCTAGGTGATTATATTTGAAACTAATGAGATTATTCATCTTTTCATCAAGTTAACCAACAGCTGTCTGCACACTGCAAATAGTTTGATAAAATTCTGTGCGGATGGATAGATAATGATTTGCTGGCATCCAACTAACCTTCCATAGATGGAGGAATGACTTTCAGTTTTGCACTCACACCAGATGTCAACACTTTGTTGCTTTTTGAACAAGATGTGAAAAATAATAATGCAGACATGGGCTTTATTCAAATACAGCAGCACTAAAATACCACCACGTATTGGGGCATTTGTTATTTTAAATCTCATATACCCGCGAAGGACTTTAATATCTGTGCTATTTGTGGTGCCACTTTTGTCAGAATTAAACCATTGCTTCTCACTCTGCTGTGTACAAAACCAATCAGTGTCATCTTCCTTTGCAGTTGGTGGAGAGAACATGGCGTATGCTCCCTTTGTGGTAGGGGAAGAATAACGATACAATAGAGGTATCTTCTCTGAACTTCACCTGAACTCCCTTTTACTGCACAGTAAGGAACCTTTATCAGGTGAGGGCTGCATTCCTTTCTGGGCAATATTTCAGGTCCCACGTGCCAGTGATGCACAGGGTCAGAAGCAAAAGTTGTTGGAGCAGCAAGTGTACATTTTACGTTTGTACAGTAGGCAAGTTTACACACACACACACACACACCCCTTTTATATCCTCCATCCAGGCACACAAGCAGAGTTTGAAAGACAAGAAAAAACACTCAAGGAAGCAGGGCTGTTGAGGGGCATGGCTGAGGAGGTGTGGCCTAGGGATAGCCCTGAGGGCCAGGTAAAGAGGCTTCAGGGGCCACATTTGGCCCTTGGATCTGAGGTTTTACTGGGCTGCTAAGAACTATCATTGGAGCTTTTGGTTTTTATTTATTCATTTAATTTATACCCGGCCCTTCCTCCTAATTGCATTGGTACTGGATTGGAAATTGTTAAATGAGACTTCAATAGGGCTTACTCCCAAGTAAGTGTATATAAAAGTGCAAGCTAAATTATCCTTAAAAAAAAAATTTAAACCTAGGAACTCCACATATGATTTTTTTTTAATTACCTATTTAAAATGGTTTGCCTGAGAGCCTGGTGGTATGGATAAAATGAGATCAAGTGCCTATGAAAATATTTATTTTAAAGAAAAGCAAATATAACCTCCAATTCCTTATGTTTTCATTTGTCAGTTTTTCAGATTCAGTAATCATTCACACATACAGAAAGTATGGTAGTAGCGACAAGCCTCGTCTGCGATGAGTGTCAATAAACACAATACACTTAAGCACAACACACTTCTCTGGGATTATGTTCTTCAGATAATTTATTACTAGTTAAAAGGGGGGGAAATCCAAAGCAAATTAAGAACAGTCAGAGAGAGAGGGAGAGGAATCATGCCATTGACATTGCACAGTGATATCCAGGACTTCGCAAGAACACAGCAACACAAGTTAACTTTTAAATCATGTAACGACACTTAAAAAAACAACCCACCTCTTTTTTAAAACATAAAAACACATATAGGTAGATATCAAAGGCTGATCATGTTATTTAAAAAAAAAAAACAGAGGCAAGGATGAGGATGATACAAGGCTTAGTTTATTAATTAACTCATTGAAAAAGCAAAACTTGGAGAGCCCCAGATCACATCAACCTGGAGAAATATCTGTATAGAACAAGTATCCAAATGGGTCCCACCCACCACCACCCAAATTCTAGGGGCTTCTTCAAATGCCATGTTACTAAACAAAAAGAGAAGCCCTTTGATTTCTTAACCCAGAAGTAGGCTAGAAGCCACTGTGACATGTCTGATGAACCCCAAGAGTTACTTCGCTGCATCGGCCTAAGCCCCTTCAACCAAATACCTCCAGGAAGCCCCTTTAGTCAGTTCCCTATTTGGTTCCTGCAGACAAAAATACCCTGGAGGTAGCAGGCAAGAGCAGTTTAATATTTTCAAGTTAGCAACTAAAGCCCCAAAATAAACCTCTAGGAGTGGCACAGATTTATTCACTGCCATAGGAATAAAAATATTATGTGCGCTCTACCATCCTGATCTTAAGGCTGCTGGAAAAAGGAGTAAAATCTGCCATCACTGCCTTCCACAGGCTTTTCATCCTAAAATGTTAGGAGGGAGAAGGCTGAGAGATAAGAGCTAAATGAAGGAAGCCAAACTCCTTTGTCTAATAGTAGGTACACGTTGGCAATTGTAGGAACTTAGGAAGTGGCTTCATACTGAGCTAGACCATTCGGTCCAGTAATGTCACTACCCGAAGGATGGGGAGCCTAGAGTTGCCTAGATCATCCCTGTCCAGAGGCTGTGGCCGTTGGGGATAACAGGATCTGGAGCCAAACAACATCTGGAGGGCCATAGTCTCCCTACTGCTCCCTCTACACTGGCTGGCAGCAGCTTGTTTTTATATGTACTGTAAGCCACCCAGAGTAGGTGGGGAAACCCAGCAGGTGGGCAGGGTATAAATAATAAATTTATTATTATTATTACAAGAATCCTTGCCAGTCCTTCATGGAGATGCCAGGGATTGAATCTGAGACATTGTGCACATAAATCGGCTCCACAGAGCTGGTTTTTAGGGCTGCTATGGAGGATACTTAATTGAGGGGATGACAATGTGAATAAGTGACTCTTGTGAGCAAAGAGCTGCAAACATGTCATCTCCCTATTGGGTCCATACTGGATGCTTTTCCTATTCCCAATACATTTTTTGTACCTTTTTTATTATTTTAAAAAAGAGAAACCTTATTTGCAATACCACACATGTTCTTGTAGCCCATTCAAAAGAAAAATATAAGTAACTTCCATAATAATGCCATGCCAATGCTGGGCTCTCTTTTTTCAGTATTTTTGAACCACGTGCATTTGCAGCACCGGGGACTCAGTAGCCCATCCTTTTTCAAATCCCATCTCTCATCCCATGTGGGATGTCTCTCCCCAAATTCTGTTTGCCCAGTTAAAATATCACTGTTAGAAGATTTGGGGCTAGTACGCAGAAAGGCTCTATGGGGAAATTTGCACTTGCTACTCCATCAGCTGCCATCTATGCAAAGAATTCAGCAAAGAGACCTGCCCACCTTTCCATGTTCATTTTACCACAAGAACTAAAAACTTGTGTACATGTGTTTTTAAAACAAAAACAACTTGCGAGTATTCTCAGAGAGCTCACAGATTCAAAAGTTAAGAGGACATCTTCCCATAGGCAGCCCTACAAGTTCTTAGATCACTTCTTCACACTGACACTGCTAGGTATGCAGCAATGACAATGAGTACTTGGTCATTACTAACAAAACAGTCACTCCTCAAGGAATGTCTAACTCCTCAGTCGTTTCCCCCTTAAACGCTACTTGGTAACCCTACCCAGTAGGAAAATTACATGTCCTTTTTTATATACATTCAGCTGCTTTTGCAACAGCAATGCAAAATTAACTGAGGAATGACTCCTACACCTTGCTCCTTTCATAAAGGTTTTTCTGTTACTTCAAAGAATGTTATTGCTCCTTCTGCAGAACTCAACAAAAACAACAAATTCAGTGTTTCTCTATGACTACGCAGTAACAGAGTAATTTGTTTGCACCCTGCACCAGAAATGATAGCATGTTGTTTGCATCCTGTACCAGAGATGACAGCATTTTGTTTGCATACAGTGTTCCTGGCTTTTGAAAACTTAGCTTTGGTTTGGCCATGGCATGGTGGGGTGGGAGGAGGGGGCAGTAGCATCCCCAAAGTTTTCTTTAAAAGTGTGCAACATTTGCAAAAGATTCCCTAGATTCTAGTTCCCTTCACAGCAAAGGAACCATCAATTATAATCAAATTAATAACTCAAAAATAATTTCCCCTTCTTACCATGAAGCAACCCTGCCTTCACACATAGAACGCCACAAAATACCTTACACTTACCATTAATCACACTTGCAAGAACAAACTCAACTGACTGGACTTTCTGCTCCATTCTGGATTCCTGACAAAAACTAAACTTGTTCTTGCCCAAACTGAATCTCTCCTGCACACCTTTAAGGTGTAGAGATCATACTTCTTATGAGTGAAACTGACTCACACACCCCACAAAACTTCTGTTCCAACCAGTCTAAGGAACTTCTCCCATGCTTCATCTGCTCTATATTTCAGCAACATTTAGGGGGGGGAAATACATTTTTTATAAAAGGGAATGTTTCCTTTGGTCAAAGTGCTTGCAAAAGCATAACAATAAAACTTCAACAAGAGACCCTGCCGGGGAACTGTTGGAGGAAAGAAAATGAAATCTTGTTTGCGCCGTTTGGCAGTGCCATTATAAACCCATCAGCCTTTCAGGTGCCTCAGGATTCTCAGCTGTTTATTTTTGTAGAGGGAACCACTGGCAAAACACAAACACAAAACCTCAGCTATCTCACAGCCTTCCTGAAATTTACTGAGATTTGTTGACAGGGAACGGCTGTTACAACAGGCAACGTAAATTGTTTTTCAGACTAAAAACAGAACAAGGCTTTCAAAGAAAAAGTTGGTGGGGAAGGGGAAGCTCTCGACACAACATAGGGCGTCCTGCCGCTTTTCCCTGGAGAAAGCTGATCTTTACCTTTGAATCGGAGCTGGCCTCTTACCTCTAGTCCAGATTATTGCAGAAGGTTTAATCTACCCCTCACAACCAGGAAGTCTCCGACCACAAACGGAGGCACTGCTATGGAGACAGAATAAAATTCTCAGATGCCTCTATGCTGCTCAATATTTAGGACCAATTTCTAGGGGTGTACGTATCCAGCATTCTCACTCCGCCTTTGTAGTGAAACAGTTGTCCAAATTTACCAAAACTGTTTTGACACACTACTGCAAATCTTCCTAAGACCCTTGGGGCAAGCGTTGTGGCGTAGTAATGGAATAGCTGCACTGCATGCAGAAGATCCCGTGTTCAATCCCTGGCGTCTGCAGATAGGGTGACCCCCGCCTGAAACCCTGGAGACTTCCTGCTGGTCAATTATTCTAAATTAGATGGACCAAAGTATCTGCCCCAGTACACAGAGGGGTCAAGTCAGATCTTCCTTTTGTGCCTGTGAAGAATTACTCAAATGACCTGATCACAACACACACATTTTAGGCAGTCAGGACAAAGGAACTGTCTCTGAATCTCCCATTAACAGCAGCTTCGCATGCTGCTGGGCCACAGAATTACTACTTTCATCATAGAAATCTGAAAGTCATTATCCAAAAGAGATTGCCTAAGGTTGTGCCACCATTATCCTCAGATTTCCAAAGCACTCGTGGGCGGTTCTGAATTGTGGCATTTGCAAAATGTTGTGTCTTTTAAAGCAACGATGCGTTAAATGATGATGATCCCAAGGTAAATATTAGCTTTATACTCGCTACAAGCCCTGCAGGAGCAACTTCAACCAAATTTAACCAAAGCGAACTGTTGGACAAGTCTGCAATGAATTAAATAAAACATGCTATATAATGCATATCTGGGAAACCGATAACCTAGTAATTATTGTGTTTTTATGCCATAATTATTTTATGCCAATTATTGTGTTTTTATGCCAAACCACGACTGGCCAGATTTTTAGGCTTCCTTAAAAGACGCAGGCATAACACATAAAGAGTGTGATCGGTAAGGTTTATAGAGTGACAATCTATAACTGTGATTTGACCACCAGCCTAGCCCTCCCTGGCAAAAAATCTGTTTTAATACATTAACGTAATAAATGAGACTATCGAAAATAAGTTATGGTTTTTAGGTGGGAAAGAGTTCTTTTTTATATATAAAGTTACTTGACGCAGGAGCAACTAGGATGGTTTCCAATTGCCAGTTCAGGAATTGTTTTCGCTTGAAAGCCTTTGTCCTAAGCTCCTTCTCTTCTCCACGAACAAGTTACTTTCCTCTTGGAACAGAAAGGTCCGCTCATTTTCACCCCACGCGAGGAAAAGACAGCAAAAGAAAGGAGAAAAAGTGACCTCGGAGAAAATTGTTTTTGCGTTCCTGTAGACATAAATTAAGTGCAGGCCCACAGGATCCTTAAGGCTGAAGACATGCTGTGGAGGAGAGGTAGCTACAAGAGGAAATTCGTTCGGGAGGCAAAGCTAATTCAGGGTTTCATCCATTTCCATCGGGCGGAGAGCTTACGATGCGACGGAAACCCATCATGCTGCAACAGCAGAGAGAGAGGGAGGGAAAGAGACAGAGAGATAAAGTGTAGTCAGCAACCATCAGGGTTGTTATCACTCCCTGTCGATTCCAGCTCCACGCTGGACAGGAACTTCCGCATGAACTTTCGGCAGTTGTAATCCAGTGTGGTGGTGTACACAGTCTTGGTGTGCTTGGGGTAGACGATTGTGGTGCTGGAGAAACTCCTGGGCCGGGGGCGCGGTTCGAGGCGCACCTCCGCTTTGTAGCTGCGCCAAGTGTTGTCGGGGACGCAGATGACCGTCTGGCTGCAAGAGGACAATCCCAGCCCCATCGGCATAGAAATATTGTTGATGAAGTGCTTCTCAGAGTCGTATTTCACTGAAGAGGTGTACCTATGGACGTGGGGCGGAACAGAGGGAGAAAACAGACAGGGCAGAACATTAGCATCATTACACCTGCCAGAACACTTTACCTAAAAAGACTGTAGACTTTATAGGTTTATTTTAAAATTATATGCTGCTTAAAAATATATCAAAGCGGTTTACAGCATTAAAAAGATCAAAGACATACAAGAAAAGCGTTTAAAAGCAATTTAACAGCAAAATAATAATAATGAAAAACAAGTATCGACAAACCATTGTGAACTCTTAATTGCTTGCATAAGCCTGGCAGAATTGTTTGGTAATGCCTAAACTCTGTGGACTGCCCTGAGATCTTACGATGACAGATATAAATCTAATAAATAATAATTTATCAGAACAGAAGCCTGCCTGACAAACCACTTTTGAGGGGGCTTCCAAAATCAGTCTGCGATACGGCATATGGGTTGGCCGATAACAGAAAACAGGCCTCTCTTTGTGCCTAAAACAGCTCTTGGAGCCCAAGCCTCAGGGAATTGTGCTTATTACGCAAAGTGCTATTTTCCTCAAGCTCTTTGTGAAATGTGGCAGGCTGCCCCCAGCCTCCATGCCCAGGAATGCAGTTGACTCTGCAGGTCCACACAAGGCCATCTCGCTTCTCTGCCCAGCGATGGGCTTTGACAAATCCTGCTGGTCGTCTTTGCTACCCTCCTTTTACAGCTTTCAGCGTACCTTATATCCTTGGGCGGCAACGGATCAAACGCCACTCCTTCCCCAAAGGACAGAGGGCATAGGCGAGAGGAGCAGCCGGGGAGCAGCGGGCTGGGAGAAGATGAGGTCTCCTGCAAAAGGAAAGGCACGTCTTTCAGCATGGGAAGTTGGCAGGCAACACACTGAACGGTGACTATCAAACAGCAGAAGGCATGGAAGACAACGGAAGGCGTGGATATTTTATATAAAAAATATAAGCCACTCTTACAAAGCCAGAGCGCAGAACCTCTTTCCCGGGGCCCAAATGTGGGACTCTCTCCAGGCCACACCCCCTCTCTGAAAGCCACACCCCTCACCTGAACCCTCCTTGTGCGTTTTCGCCTGGCTGGAAATGTGTCCTTGTACTCTGGAAATTTGCATTTGTTGCTCCACCCATTTTTGCCCTGGCCCCGCCCACCACCGGCATGTGGCCCCAAAGGGAGCATGGCTTCTGTCTGGAAAACCTTCCTTGGCCTGGACAGTGATTCACAGTAGCAATGCTGCTGTTAGGAGCACAGGAGAGGAAGCTGCCTTCTACCAAGTCAGACTAGCTCAGTCTTGTCAACACTGACTGGCAGCAGCAGCCCTCCTGAAGATGCCATTGTGGACTGAACCCGGAGCCGTCTCCATGCCAGCATATACTTCCTTCCTGAGCTACAGCCCTTCCTGGCAAAAGAATCTCGTCATCACACATACAGTGGTCCCTCGGGTTAAGTACTTAATTTGTTCTGGAGGTCCGTTCTTAACCTGAAACTGTTCTTAAGCTGAAGCACTACTTTAGCTAATGTGGCCTCCTGCTGCCGCTGCGCCGCTGGAGCACGATTTCTGTTCTCATCCTGAAGCAAAGTTCTTAACCTGAAGCACTATTTCTGGGTTAGCAGAGTCTGTAACCTGAAGCGTAGGTAACCTGAAGCGTATGTAACCCGAGGTACCACTGTACTGTATCAGCGAACACAAATCTGACACAGTTAACACTTTTACATTTTCAAGGTTTTGTTTTTTCCCTTGAAAAGATCCAACACATTCCGATTTCTGCAGCTCTTACTTTTTTCTCTTTTTTTAACAGCACGGCCTCAGCCTACAGTGTTCTTTGCAGTCCTATAAAAAGTTCAGCCTGCATATTTGGCCACAATAATTCCTCCTCCTCCTCTTTTCCTCTTTTAAAGATGGAAAAGTGAGGTTGAGCAACATCAGCTCAGCCAAAAACAAAGAAGCAAAAGGAAAAGGGGGAAAAACCGCCCAGCACTGCAAGTTATGAACTCAAGTCCTTAGTTTTGGACAGAGACAATTCCCACACAGATGCTGCAGGCGCTGCTACTGTCCTGGCAAGGCGGAAGAGGTGGAACACATTTCTCACACCTCTCCTGGCCCTTAACTCGATCCAGTCCTTAAACAGCGCTGAAACCATTTCAGCCCCGGCAGCTACACATCTTGGAAAAACAGTTCCTTCTTTTCCAACACCTCTGTCTAAAACCAAGCCATGAAAAAAAACGTGCCGCCCTAGAAGGCTTCCAGACAACCCATTTCTGGAACATTCATCCCTTTCTTTCCCAGGGAGATTAGATAACGTGGGCTATTTAACAAGCCTCCAACCCTGATCGGTCGCCTGCTCTGCTTAAGGCCCATTCCGCTCTGATTCCTTTGGACAGAGGTTAGATACGAGCCTGACCCCCACACTTTCCAAAGTGCATTTGCCCATCGCAAAAAAAAGGGAGCCTGTTTGGGGAAGCGAGCTTGTTGCGCAAGATCTCCTAACCAACTATAACAGCAAAACCCGAGTTTGCCGATACACAATCGAACCCAACCCAAAAAACAGGCTTGAAGTGCCCCAAGTAACCAAGATACTCAGTGTAAATTCAGTGGCTAGTGGATCAACACCCACTCATCCACCCCAGTGCCCTGTCCCCGACTTGGGGGGGGGGGGAGACTAATAAATAATAATAACAATTTGTTTTTATTTATACCCTGTCCATCTGGCTGGGTTGCCCCATTCAACATCCCCTCGTTGACTTCCATTTCAACTTGGGGTCAGGCTCTGAGTTCTTGCTTCCAAGAAGCCACACCAAAGAGTCACAGCTGTTTCCTAGCACCTACATTTCAGGAGAATCAAACCAAAATTCCTCCTCCTTCCCTCCCTCCAACAAAAGAAAGCAAAAAACCCCATTTTATTCTTTGCTTGTATTTTGTCTCCAGAGGAGTCTGCAAATAAAGGGGAGGAGATATTCTTCAGGGAATTAATTCCTGCAAATTAGGGAAGGGGGGGGGTCATTTGTAGCCAGGCTAAAATATTATTCAGCTATTCCCTTCACACCCTTTAACCACTTCCCAGTTCCCCTACATTTTCAACATTTATTTCTTTATTGCATTTACATCCCATTTTTTTTCCTCCAAGGAGCTCAAGGCAGCAAATATGGTTCTCCCCCTCCTCGTGTAATCATCACAACAACCCTGTGAGGTGGGTTAGGCTAAGAGGCAGTAACTGGCTCAAGGTTGCCCAGTGAGCTTCATAGCCGTGCGAGGATTTGAACCCTGGTCCTAGTATGACACTCCAATCACTACACCTAACTGCCTTCACCACATGCACTCTTAACGGGTGCAGGGGATTCCAATCCACCGTAGTGGTTGCAAAGTCAGAACCAAGAGGCAGTATGGGCTTCAAATTAGCCAGTCTATCACCTGTTATCTTTTGTGTATGCAAGCTAGCCCAGAGTGACAAAATTATTAGCTTCATAAAATTTGCACGCTGCTTGTTTTTACAAAGAAACCTCAAAAAGATACAAAAATTAAAATAAATCACCAAAGCCATCGATAGGAAAAAATTAACAATAATAGTCTAAAACTCTCAAAAGATTTAAAGCAGGGGTCAGCAAACTTTTTCAGCAGGGGGCCAGTCCACTGTCCCTCAGACTTTGTGGGGGGCCAGACTATATTTTGGGAGGGGAAATGAACGAATTCCTATGCCCCACAAATAACCCAGAGATGCATTTTAAATAAAAGGACACATTCTACTCATGTAAAAACACGCTGATTCCCGGACCATCCACAGGCCAGATTTAGAAGGCGATTGGGCCGGATCCGGCCCCCGGGCCTTAGTTTGCCTACCCATGAACTAGAGTCTAAAAACAGGTTATAACACTCACCAACTTTCTGACCATCTTGGGCAGGCTTGCCTAAACAAAAGTGATTTTGGCAGGAGCCGAAAAGAGTACAGTGAAGGCGCCTGGGCTGGTATCAATAGGCAGGGAGTTCCAAAGACAGTAAACGACGGAGGTCTTAACAGATGTGGAACCGATATTATGTGGCACCTGTAACAGCACCAGTTCCACCAATCAAAGCGGTTGAGTATATGTGGCAAGGCAATCTCATAGGCAAAAGGGAGCAGAAGAGGAAGTGGACAAGGTACATTTATACTGACAACTCCGTGGCTGAGCTGGGGTAACTGCCTCCACCTCCCCACAACTATCTGTATGTGGGGCGCTAATAATCAGCGGAGAAAGCCACAGACCCCAGATAACGCTCTCCCTCTCCTGATCCCACCTGTCTCCGAATCCTGTTGCAGCATGTTGGGGGGACACAGCAGCTGCGCACCAAATGTTGGTTTACATTCCGTAGCAGCTGCCTGGAAGAGAAATTATTAAAAGGACACAAATGGTCTGTCACTGTGCTGGAGGTGGGAATCACATTGTACGGGGGCGGGTGGGGGAGAGAATCCTTTTTGGAAGCCTGTTTGGTATACTGGTTGGACTAGAGACTAGGGACCTGGGTTCAAATCCTGGAATCAGCCAGGAAGCTCACCAGGGGTCATCTCAGCCAGACCTACCTCGCAGGGTTGTTGTTAGGAGGTTAAAAACAGGGAGGGTGGGGAGAACCATGTATTTATTTCAAAGCCTTTCCAAACAGCCTAATAGTTCAAAAACCTCCAAACTATGTGCAATATGAAAAGTGATCCCAGCTAAAAAAAGGAAACTACAAACTCGAGCAGCATAAAAACATAAGCAAATGTAACAAAGATTCAGGGGATTCATATAAATATATGTCCAGTCTTATGGGTCACGTACGCCACCTTGAGCTCTTCATTTAAATGTCATAAAACAAAAAAAATAAGAAACAAAACGTTAGGAGGTCCCATGACAATTGCCTAGGCCCCATAATCCCACAAGAGAATTTGGGAAGTTCATATGTACAACATACAGTAATAACCCACCCACAGAGCCCTTGGGGATCCTAGCAGCCCCCCACCCCTGCTCATAACCCCCTACTATTCCCGCCCATCATGTACTTGGAGACTCTTGAGAGACACAATAAATCATCAACACACTAGCGTGTGTTATGCAGTGGCATCCGACTGAAAACATTTAGCAGGGTTGTGGCATACGCCCCTCTCATCTGGGCCCATGGCAAGCTGATTCCACTAAATTCTAGTGCAGCAGGTTGGGCACAGGATGGCACCCTTGAGATCTGGACAATCCCAACACGAGTCACCACACTGCCTGCGGCATCCAGTCTGCAAAATGGGCACAGTAATCATGATGGCCTAACTTTACTACCATGATGCGAAGGATCTCAATACGATGAAGTCCCCCAAGTGAAAACCCTCGACTGCTCCCACGGTGAGCTGGAACAGGTCGTCTCTCTATGATGGGAGAAGAGGGGTTCTCCAGTTTGCACCAGCTAGGGAAACTGGAGCCACAGCTAGGCAGGAAGTGGGGGTTACAAATGCACCTGCCTAGTCCCCGAAGGGTCTCAGAAAGCACCACGTCAAGGGAGGCAGAAGGAGGGCTCCACCTGGGGAAGGAAGTGCACGGAATTTGTTGCTAGTTTGGCATCTCAAACTGACCTCGCCCGGATCCGCAGAGGCTGCTGCTTTGCGTTTTATTTGCGTTGCAAAACGAAATGCGCGCTGGATTTTATGTTGCACCGAGTATGATCCAGTTCACACTGCAATAGTGTATATATTTTTTTAAAAACTCGCTTGAGTAGTTTAGACAGTCCATCCCCCTGAACCTTGGCGTCAGATAAAACATGTTCGGGATTGCACCGTCGGGATTGCGCCTTGAGCCCGCGCTACATGGACTCGCTTACCCCGGATTTGCTCTCCAATTTCACACTCCGCTTTGCGCACTCCCTAATCCCCCTTGAGCCGCGCTGCTAATTCGGATTGCATCCCCCGCTCGACGCTCCCTTGCTAGCGCAGCTGGCGTTTGGACCTGCATCGGCCGTGCACACATACCCCGTTAACCCGGATTCACTCCGGTCCCACGCTGGGACAGACGCAGGCGCCTGCTTTCCTGCACTCACCTTCGGAAGCGGCTTGGTCTCCGGTCTCTCGGTCTCCGGCAGCGCATTGGCGACCCCTCCCCGCTCCGATCCGCCGCCCGAGAGCAGCCAGCTGCCGGGGCTGGGGCTGGGGGGCAGCCCGGAGTCGGGGCTGTCGAGGCCCCGCTCGGCCCGGCGCTTCGAGTCCGGCAGCTCCGGGACGTCCGGCAAGCTGAGCCGCCCCACCATCGCGCCTCCTTCTTCCTCCGCGCGCCCGGAGCGCACTGGCGAGAGGGACGCGCAGGCGGCCGCCTCGGGCGAGGGGCGGAGGCCGGAGAGAGACCCGCCTCCCCGGGGCTGCCGAGAGGGGAGCAGCCTGGCGACACGATCCGAGGGGAAAGGGCCGCGGCTCCCTCGCCCGGGGCTGGACCAAATCTATGCTGCTTGAAGGGGCCTGCTATCTGGCTAGCCGGATCTTCCACTTCCGTGCGCACCGTCCATTTATAACCGTCCTATGGCGCTTGCAAGAGCTTGGCGTCTCCAAAGAATCCTGGGAACTAAGTTTGCAAAGGGCGCTGAGAGTTGGTAAGAGAACCCTGCTCTCCTCCCGGAGGTGCAATTCACAAACTTCCCTGCGAGGAGGGTTGACTGTCAAGCCACTCGGAGAACTGTAGCTCCGGGAGGAGAACAGGTGCGGAGCAATTGCTCCCAGCGCCCTTCACAAACTACAACTCCCAAGATACTTTGGGGGAAGCCTTGCCTGCTGAAAGTGGCTTGATACCCCTTTAAATGTATGGCATGAGTGCGGGTAGGGTTGCCTTTAAATGTAAACCACAGTCTTGAGAATTGTAGCTCAGGGAGGGGAGCAGTGCTTTTGAGGGGCTTCCTGACGGGAATCGCGCAGCAGAGACAGCCTCCCCAGATAGTTCCACAGCAGCTGGACGAACGCAGCACATCTGGATGCTGAGATATGGCCGATTTGTGTGGGTTAAATCACAGTGCCTAGGACTTGCCGATCAGAAGGTTGGTGGTTCGAATCCCTGCGACAGGGTGAGCTCCCGTTGCGCAGTCCCTGCTCCTGCCAACCTAGCAGTTCAAAAGCATGTCAAAGTGCAAGTAGATAAATAGGTACCGCTCCGGCGGGAAGGTAAACGGCGTTTCTGTGCGCTGCTCTGGTTCGCCAGAAGCGGCTTAGTCATGCTGGCCACATGACCCAGAAGCTGTACGCCGGCTCCCTCGGCCAGTAAAGCGAGATGAGCGCCGCAACCCCAGAGTCGGCCACGACTGGACCTAATGGTCAGGGGTCCCTTTACCGTTACCTTTAAAGAGAGGTTGACTGGAAAGAGGCAATGACTCCCGCAGAGATGCAGTAGGCATCATCTCCTGAGTCTCTCTTTCTGTGGCTTCCCTGTATCACTTGAATTAGGTAATCACATCCAGTGCAGAGATGGCGCAAAAGTAAAGACAGATCGGCAGAGCAGCAACTCTTGCAGAGATGCAACAGGTAGCCTCCTCTGAGCACTGGCAATTCCGTAGAGTCTCTGATCTGCGAACACTGCCTGCAATCCTGCGGAGGTGCTGCCAGTCACTGGGCTCGATGGACCAGGCAGCTTCCTATGTTCCTCTTTAAATCAGCCCTTGTAATTCAGAATCATGAGGACTGGAATCTTATTTTAGGGGGAGGACCGTAGTTCAGTGGCAGAGCACCTGCTTTGCATGCAAAAGGTCCTGTGTTTGATCCCAGGCACAGCTGAAAAAGACGCCTCTTTGGATAGCTGCTGCCAGTCATTGCAGACAATATTAAGCTAGATGGACAGGTGAACTGACTTAGTACTCTTTGCAGTTCCACTGCCCTTGAGCCCACACTGCAATGTTATTATCCCTCCTTCAACGCTCCCCCTTCCTCTCTGCTTGCTCTGAAACTTTTTTTTTTTTAAGACCTTGAGAAAGGCTCCCCTCTTTCCACTCCCACCTCCGTCTGCGAGCATAAATAACCCAAATCAAAACCAGGCCTTCGCAAGCCAGCCGGCTGGGAGCCACTGGGAATTCGCACTTTTTCGGTGAATCACAGAACCTGCGACTCAGCAGATCAGTATGGAAAAGGCGTTTTTAAAAAGGTCAAACCACACTTTTATTTTTATTTTTTTGATATATATATATAAAAAACCTGATGTGGATTCATCGAGGTTTCCGTGAACTCAGAAGAAAAGGGCCCCCCTTTTCGGCTTTGATCCAGTTTCCCCGAGGAGAGCTATTTGTAGATCTGGAGGAGGGAGGCTTTTGCCAACGCAGCCCCGAACTACACTTCAGAGGCAGCCATGCCTAGTGGTTGTGGCAGTTGTGGTCCGAAATAATCAGGAGGGCATCAGTGTGGTGAAGTGGCTGCCCCAGACCTCCCGGAGTTCAGCTTTGGAAGATGAAGAGAGAGAGAAATTTTGTCTCAGAGTGGGCCATAACTCAATGGTAAAGCATGTTTTAATTCAGGGATGGGATACCTGTGGCTTTAGGTGTTGCTGAATGCCCATCAGCCCCCAGGCAACGTGGCCAAGAATAATCATAATAATAAATTTTATTTATACCCCACCCTCCCCAGCCAAGACCGGGCTCAGGGTGGCTAACAACCAATAATAAAAACAAGTTGATTAAAATACAATTTAAAAAACGAGATTAAAATACAACATTAAAACATTAGGATGCAGCCTCTTCACAGGAGGAGAAAGGAAAAAGAAAGAGGGGGAGGGAATCAAACTGATTCTAAGCCAAAGGCCAGGCGGAACAATTCTGTCTTACAAGGGATGATCCTTACAAGAAAAGGAGGAGGATGTGCTGCAGCAGAATAGCCTTTTGAAAAGGATCAGACCATTATTTGGGGGTGGGTTGGATCTACCAACAACCACTAATAGGCAAGGCGAACGAAATTCATATTCAGAGGCACTTTACTGTTGCATTCGAGATGCTGGAGGTGGAAAACTGTGGAGGACCATTCTGTGGCCTGACCGCAGGCTTTCCAGAAGGATCTGGCTGTCCACTACCAGAGACAGGAAACAGGGTTCAGATGGACGTCCTTCACTGGATGCAGCAAATCCAGCCCATCTCAGTTATCGGAGTGCCAGTCCTTCCTTAGCCAAGACAGCAGCATCAACACTCAAAAATTTATGTAAGAAAGGGCAGGGTGGGAATCAAAACCAAAGACTGAGCATGCTCAGTAGGTACGGAGCGAAACTGGAAAGGAGGGTGGATGGAATGGAGTTTCCTGGAAAGGGCCTGGCTGGCTAGAAAGCTGAAAGCTGGACTTTTCCCACCAGGCAGTTGAAAGCTATTATTTAGAGACTGTTTTGTATTTGACACCTGAAAATGTAAGGTGGTGGTGTATTTATGCTGATTTAGCCACATAGGATATTTATTGCTTCTTGTTTTTCCCCTTTTCTTATGTCACTTGATACTTAAAACATATTTATTATGTTTTTAAAAGTTTTCGCGCTCACACATGCCACTAAGCACTCCACACTGCAACATTTTGTTACGGGTCTCTCAAACCCCACAGCGGGTAAACAGTTGAACCAGAGGAAGGTCCACAGTGCACGTTAGCCAGACCTCTTCGGTGAACTGGCATGTCACACTGCCCTTTCCATGAAACGTTCGGCACCGCTGGTTTGCAAATGCCGTTCCCCATTTTACTCACAGTTGGGCTTTTCCCCGCCCAGGAATTAATGCAAATTGTATGTAGCTATAAAGAACAGGGCAGAACGACACAGCCTGCCAACCACCTCTGAAGGAGCATGCGTCTCACACACGCATGCCATATTCCACCAAAGGAAGGAATCTCCCCGCACCCTAAACAAATTCTTACAGCTTCCATTAAAAGATTATGCAGTGACACCAACAATCAATATGACTTTGACTCCTTCTTTCGCTCTCTGTCGCCAATGGTCTCTAGTCAATAAAGGTGTGTCCTTCTGTGCAGTGTGATGGCTATATTAATAGCTGAGCCATTCCTGGGGTGATAAAAAGCAGAGGCGTGTCCCCGCCAAGCACGAAACAGATTGTGCTTTTTTCAGGCACGCATCCATTTTCTCCTGCACCCTTTACCCCTGCTCACTGAAAGCCACATTTGGTCTCTCATGGACTATTTGCGGCTTGGAAGGAGAGCTGGAAGGAGACTCCAAGAGCTTGGCTGCACCGATGTTGCATTTATTTCTACCCCACCTTTCCCTCCGAGGAGCTCAAGGTGGCGTGTGCATGGTTCCTCACAACAGCCCTGCGAGGTGGGTTAGGCCAGGAGGGAGCGACTGGCTGCCATCCACCAAAGGGGAGCATGCTGTTGCTTTCAGATGTGGCTTGCTGGTTTCCCATAATGGGCATCTGGTAGGCCACCGCAAGAACCGGACGCTGGACCAAATAGGCCCCTGGCCTGATCCGGCAGGGCCCTTACGTTGACCCTCCTCCAAAACTCCAGGGAAGCTGCCCTCTGCACGTGCCAGGTGAACACACCTCGGCTTAACAGCAGCTCCTGTTTTCAAATCAGACAGCAGCTGAGATGGAAGAGAAAAGCAATGGAGCAATATTTCTCAAGGAAGTACAGGACGACGTATACATCACGACTAACGTCGCATTGACAGACCCTCTAAGTGTCCCTATTTTCCAGGGACAGTCCTGGATTTACAGAAGCCATCCCGGGTTCTGAACAGATCCTGGAATATCCCACTTTTCCTTAAAAGGTAAAGGGACCCCTGGCCATTAGGTCCAGTCGTGGCCAACTCTGGAGTTGCGGCGCTCATCTCGCTTTATTGGCCAAGGGAGCCGGCGTACAGCTTCCAGGTCATGTGACCAGCATGACTAAGCTGCTTCTGGCGAACCAGAGCAGTGCATGGAAACGCCATTTACCTTCCCGCCAGAGTGGTACCTATTTATCTACTTGCACTTTGACGTGCTTTCGAACTGCTAGGTTGGCAGGAGCAGGGACCGAGCAACGGGAGCTCACCCCGTCACGGGGATTCGAACTGGCTACCTTCTGATCAGCAAGTCTGTGGTTTAACCCACAGCGCGACCCGCGTCCCACACTTTTCCTTAGGACGTCCCTGTTTCCATCAGAGAACTGTTGGAGGGGATGCATTTGACGGCAGTGGAGGGAGCCAGAAGAAACAGCCCAGTGTTTGCAGCTGCATGTGGGTCAGTGAGGCATAGCCCCATTTGTCGTCATGAGCCGGCCTCCGTTTATGGGATGGCATGCGTGCCTCGAACCCAGAGGCCTGCAGCGACCCTCGGCTGCATCCCAGATGAGCTGTGGACTCGCCACCCCCAACAATATATAGAAGTGTGTGCAGATCAACCTTTGGAAGCCTCCTAGATCTCTGCGTCATCGCCGGGGAAGGACTCGTGGGGGGCGGCGGGGGAGCTCAACGCAGGCCTGGGGGCCAAAGCAAACACACGGCCAACGTCTGGGCCCGGCGGCCACGGCGCTCGAGTGCAAGCCCCAAGCCCCTTTCAGACAAATTCCTTCATGGCCCTCCTGGAACGAGGCGCAGGAGGGAGCCAGCCGCCACCGGCGTCTGTGGCTTCCAGCTATGCACGTCCCGGGGCCAAGGGCTTCCTGAAGGAAGGCCGCAGCCTCATCCTGGCGGGGTGAGGGACACAGGCTGCTGGTCTCTGCCGAAACCGGATCCTGGGGAAATTGGTGCCAATTGGAGCAGGGTTTCAAGAGGCAGATGAGGCGGAGAG